AAACTGTTTTCATTTATATATTTTACTGTTTCTGTTGTCAGACAATGAAATGAATATGAAATAGTGACTGACGCGATCCACTAAGACTACATAGCTCTCCCTTCCAAGATGTTAATCTGCACAAAAATCCTGATTTATAATCACCACACGTGTGCTTAAGGTCATCCATTCACTAAGGTCACCGTACCAGAGTTCGTTTGGAAGCGGACCGAGACCACCTCTTCAGCTGGGTCTCGGTACGGTTGTTTGCTGTGCACCCGAGTGCGATTACTGTATTCACACCTGCCCAAAATATCCGCACCATGGAGGGAAACGAACTTGAGTTCGATTCAATCGAACCAAACAAGACAGGTGTGAATACACCCTTACACAAAACACCTGCAGTCTTATTTAAGCAAATGTTTGGTGAGCTTTTGTGCAGTATGTAATGTAATTGTTGGCTTTTGGTGTTTATCTAGTGTTTGTGCCTATGATTGAGCATCATGTTGGCAAAACGTACATTTAGGTAAAAGGTACTAGATGAAACTTGAAATCCACCTGAAACTTGTGAATTCTGTAAACACACTCTTTCTCTAGGAATTTTGCCACCAAAAAATATAATTAGTAATTTAATTGAATGTAATATTTGATTCTGTGTATATAAAATCACTTTTGTAAATTCATTAATTTGTAAAAGAATTTGATTTGGAAACCAAAATGGGATGTCTTGTCTTTGACCCACATATGTGAGTTAAAGAAAACTAATCTGTGAGCTGAAAACTCATCTCTTTCGACACTATTTGACTTCATTCTAAAAAAAAATATATATATATATATATATTAAAAAAACTTTGTCTTTCTCTTTATTTATTCCTTCCCTTTCTAGCTTGTACTTTTTTGAACAATGCCTGAAACTTGGTATTACGAGCACTTCCTGTGTCTGTTTGCTTCTTTAAGAAGAATCGCTTTATGTATTCCCCAATTTATAAGTCGCTTTGGATAAAAGCGTCTGCAAAATGACTAAATATAAATGTAAATATGTATTTTTGTCCAGCTATAATACTGGTTCACAGTTTGATGGCACATTAATATCTGTATAAAAAAAGTTTACATGTGGGTGTAAAGAGTTCCTCGTGAAGTTTTTCTTGGCATTGAATGGAAACTCACCACCACGTCTGTGCGCATCTTCCCAAAGGTGCTGATGAGATGGGTGTAGTGATAGTCTTCCATCTGCCGCAGAGTGCCGGTCATACACGCCACAAAACTGCCCTGCAGAGAGAGACAGACAGCTGATCAGTGACAGCAGAACACCTAGAGCACCTGTCAATCTAACGCTGACAGGAGCAAAGAGCTGCTGTTAAAGGGCCATAAACCCTTCAAAATGAACCACACACACACACACATTACAGCCACTCTGAGGAACTTCACAGAGAGAAGACGTGCAGCAATTCCAAAAAGCATTCCTCATTAACAGCACTTCTGACAGAAAGTAATGTGGCGAGCACCGCATATTTGACATCAATATTTCTCCAATCTGATTACAGCAGTCAGACACACTAAAGGAATCTAATGATACTTCCACTTTCCCACATGTGGGAATTGGGGCCAATATAACATGCAATTAACCAGAAATCAATTGCTAAGAAACGAAACGGAGGGGAAAAACTCATTTAAGATTCAAAACACAACAAAAAGGCAGTAAAACACCTCGAACAAGCAGTGGGAATCAAACTTGTGCAGCGTATTAGAAAATGTCACATTACCTGCTGAGGAAGCCATTCAAATGTCATTTATGTAACATTAAAGATAGGTAAGAGAGAAAGTTAATAACTTATGCATAACTTATAGCATAAAACCTCTTTTAATACAAACCCTGAAAATAAGCAATAAGCAAAGGCATAGTTTCTTAAAATAATTTAATCATTATTGCTGAGGACATTTTTGACCTTCTTGGTCATATTTATGTCTTAGACATATTTTGACGCTTCAAAAAACAAACAAAAAAACAACTCTATTCAAGTGTCATTCACATGCAACTTAAATATTTAAAACTATAAAACTTACAGTAATAGTCAAAATTTTGCAAACATTAAAATTTTTACGTTTTTAATGGTGTCAGGTCTCAAATCTAAAAGAAAACAGTAAAAACAGTAATATTGTAAAATATTACAATTTTGAATAACTTTTCTATTTGAATATATTTTTAAAAAGCTGATATATATCCATAAGTTAAGCACATTATTATTAATTTCTTAGTAGCATTATTGCAATATTTTAAAAACAAATGAAATATATGAAATATAATATAAAATAAATTGTAAAGAACATTTGTAAAGTACAATTTAAAGTATGCAGCAGTTTTTAAAAATGATTTTCATTAATATTACAGCAAAACATCTTAAACTTCTTCATGCATTATCCATTTTCTCTCTCTATCTTTCAAAAATAGCCTTTTTCCAAAAAGCAGTACAATTAAAAGGGTCAGAAAGAGGGGGGGGGAATTGAAAATGGAATTTTGATGGAAGAAACCTTGACTAACATTGTGAGTGGACTTGAGGGAGAAAAAATAAATAAATACGACAATGCGCAGTAGTCTTATTAGTTTAAAAGCCACTTCATTCATCTTTGCTAATTTGCAGCCATCTGAAAGGAGGAAGAACATTTCCAGCAGATTCCACATGAGCAAACACTGCGAACCGCAACCAGCCGCACGCGAAGCCTGTGCACTTTAAAAAGTGTGACCAGGGCTATTCTGCGTTTCATTTGCAAGTCTTTCCTGCAGCGGTAATTAGGTCTGGCCTACATAACTCAGCAGAAACACAACACACAGCTCATGTTCATGACAAGCTCCCCTCTTTCTCTCTCTCCGTCTCACCTTAGGAAGAAAAGACTGGAGAGGATAAGACTGAAGAGGTAAAACTGGGGTCTTCTGTGAAATATTCATGCTTCAACACGTTTGTCAGCTGAAGTTACAGTTATTTCAGAGGCATAAAGTTTATTTTCCTGGCTGGGTAAAGACACAGTAAACACAGTTAGCCTGGAGTGAGAGATTAGCGCCTCGCCGTTCTGCTAATGCGGTTTTACAGCTAATATTTATGTTTACTGAACATCCTATCTGAGCCTTTGTGTTTGAACAGGACACATAATGACAGACAACACCGGCATCACACACACACACAACACAATACCGTGAGGTCAAGATAACTAATATAATTTACTCACCTAACTATTAACTTCACAACCAAAAATGATGGTATAAAGTGCTGAAGAAAGACCGTTATCATTGAGTGAAATATTGTAAAGATAATGTTATCTTCTACAGCAAAGGAGCGCTGACAGCTTACACTTATACCTAAAAACAGAGAAGATAAAATGACAAGGACAAACGATAGGTCAGTTCTTATTATATTAATATTTAAGGAGTAATTGAGGATTACATGAGTGATTTGGGTGATGGACAGATGAGATTCATGAATGAAAGTGCTGGCAGAAAAAGCCTCAGTAATTCAGAGACAGAAATGTTTCTTCTACATGCAGCCAAAACTGAATGAAAGTGCCAGTAAACGCTGGCTTCAAATGAGTCCAAACCAGCAGCCGTTCACGTCTGAAGTGATTGACGTGCAGATATCGTGTCCTGCTGTGAGATCTGAAGTGAAGAATAATAATTCTCTCATTCAGCATGTGTAAGCATGCCATTACTCCTGATGAAGAATCCTGCTTTTTACTAGAAGATAACAGATTCCTGCTGTGTATTACTCATGTAGGAATTACACATGATTGAGTTGCTCTGCAGCGGAGTCCTTCAATCACCTGATCACACGGAGACCCGATCTGCTCTTCAGAAATGTGTCAAAGAGACCGGATGTGCTGAACAAGAGCTGCCGCCGGACAAAACCTCCACACTACACACAGTACAACTAGTCCACTCACTCAGACTGAAAGATTTTTTTATTAAAAATCTTTAAGACAAAATCTTAACTATTTACTTGTTTCTTGTTTATTTAAAGGGGTCATATGATGTGATTTAAATTTTTCCTTTCTCTTTGGAGTGTTACAGGCTCTTGGTGCATGAAGAAGATCTGTAAAGTTGCAAATACTAAAGTCTCAAATCCAAAGAGATATTCTTTATAAAAGTTAAGAGTCAACCACGCCTACCTAAAACGGCTGATGATGCAAAGAAAAACAATAAATGGAAGAATGGACAGATAGATAGATAGATAGATAGATAGAAAAACAAATGGTTGGATAAATGATGGATGAATGGAAAGAAAAACAATAAATGGATGGATGATAGAAAAAAAACAAATGAATGGAAAATACAGTAAAATAGTCAAATGTTGTGAAATAGTATTACAATTTAAAATAACTGGTTTCTTTTTGAAAATAATTTAAAATGTAATTTATTTCTTTGATCAAAGCTGAATTTTCAGCATCATTACTACAGTCTTCAGTGTAACATGATCCTTCAGAAATCATTCTAATATACTGATTTGCTGCTCAAGAGACATTTCAGATTATCATCAATGTTGAAAACAGTTGTGCTGCTTCATAGTTTTGTGGAAACCGTGATATATTTTATGTTTTCAGAATTCTTTGATGAACAGAAACTTTAAAAGTATTTATTTGAAATAGAAATCTTTTGTAACATTACAAATGTCTTTACTGTCACTTCTGATTTAATGCTGAATAACACTCCACTGTGCAACATTTAAATGGAGAAAATGTTTTAAAACGTTTGCTTCAAGTTTCAATCTTGTATTCCTTGACACTTTAGACCTTAAAACTGAAACAGGATAGTCACAAAACTATCAAACACTCACTTGAACGCAATTCAAATATTGCATCGCACAACAGTAAACAGCAAACTTTTGCAGAAACAGCTGCAAAAACACAAATAAATGTCCTCTGCTGGTGATATCGCACACCTGCGCAGCAAAAACTGGCATTGTAAGCATCATTTACAGCCACAATTTGGCTGCCGCAGTTCTATGCTGTAAATCGAACACCTGCAGAGCGAACAGTGCATGTCAATTAATGTTGCGGCTTTTATGGTCAGACGTTGAATATCAAGTAGGAAAATCCCAAACAGGACTTTGTATGGAATACAGCATCAGCTCAAAAGCGTATATACTGCATGCACACTTCAAAAGCAATGCAATGCAAATTTAAATGCAAAAACACTATGCAGTCTGGGCAGTTTCAGAATACTGTTTTCAAGATGCAATAGCAGGGCAAAAAGAAAGACGTGCGCCTGGCTGAACATCTTTCACATCTAATGGTTTCGTATTCTTGCTTCAGGTCGAGTCAGTTTTATTACAGCGCTGGAGCGTGTTCATTTACAGCTAAATCACACTAATTAAATAATGGCTCTGTCAGTTACAAATGGAGCCGCTAAGACAGAATCCCTGTCCGCTTAACTGAAGACATGCCGCTCCTGTAGAGACACCAGCAGGAGACTGGAAACATCTGGAGCAGCATCTGTGTGACACGCAGCAGAAAAAAAACCCTTGCAGGAGAAATGCAGCGATGCAAGAACGACAGCAAACTTAAAGGGACAGTTCACCCAAAAAGGACAATTTGCTGTTAACTTAATCACCCTGCAGGCCATCCAAGATGTAGGTGACTTTATTTTTCTTCAGTAAATCAGTAAAGAAGATTTTTAGCTGAGAGAGAACTGTGGTCCTTGGTGGTTCAAACAAAGCAAGTCAAAGGTACTTTGAGAGTCAAAAAAAGCATATCAGGCAACACAAAATTAATACTCGTGGCTCCTGACAATATATTGAGGTCTTATGAAGTGAAACGATCAGTTTGTGCAAGAAACTGAACATTATTTACAACATTATTACCTGGAATCCAGAGCCTCAGGCAAACGGTCCAGAGTGATGTGTGAACCAGTTCACCAAATTGGACAGAATCAACTTAAAAGTTTGCAGCTCGAACAGCACAGATCTATTCATGTTAGTCAATCAAAAATCTCTTTCGGACATCCAACAGTCACCCCGACTCAAAATGAGCCAAAATACTGGCGTATCTGATCCTATGATGAATGAACTCATTCTGCGGCTCTGGATTACAGGTTATAATGTTGTAAATAATGTTCAGTTCCTTGCACAGCCTGATCATTTCGCTTCATAAGACCTCAATGTATCATCAGGAGCCACCGGTATTCATTTTGTGTTCTTTGATACGTTTTTTGACTCTCAAAGTGCTGGTAGTCATTGACTTGCATTTTATGAATCACCAAGGACCACAGTTTCAGCAAAAAACTT